TATTCAGGTCTAAGAATTGGTCTCTGCTGATGCAGATTAGATACTCAGCAGTGCCTATGACCAGATCAACAACATTTATTTACCATTACTTTATGTTTGATATTGCTCTACTTTTACTTAATTTAAGATCTATTTATTAATTCATTTATGATATTTTGCTACTAGTTGCGTCTATTTCCCAGTTTGTTAAACAATGATGTTAGATTCTCATTTCTTATTTTTATTTTTATAATTTCTGGAGAAGAGAACATTTTGCTCTTTAAAATTTTAAATCAAAAGTTTATCTAGAAGTTACCTTTAAAACTGAAAAATACCCTAGAATAAGGAGTTCAGATGATGTTTGTTTGATCCATTCATTAAAATAGTCAACTCATTGATTGAATGGTTGGCAAATGCTAATGACCATTGCTTGATTGCATTAATGTTCTTTAAGGATTGTAAAATATTACCTTTCTAATTAATTTCCCCAAGTTTGTTATTCATAATTCTTCTTTTAAGTAAAAGCAACTACCCTTATTCAAATTTTTTGTTACCCTTAGATACAGTCAATAGAAGAAAGACATGACATATACTTCTTTCTCTTCATTTATGTTTATTCATTTGCAGAAAATAGTCTCCTAGTATGCTTCAAATATTTTTCATATTATTATGAGGTTATAAATTCTTTATTTTGAAGTTTTCAACTCATTGCAATCAATTGTTTATTGTTATTATTATTACTATTACGCTAATACGTACCTTTTAAATTTGTGGGGATCTTCTTCCAAAACCAAAATTAATGAGAATAGGATTCTTTAAAAAAAAAATTATTTTTGTTATCATATCAAGAAAATAAACCTACAATCATAAAGGGTCAGTATGATATAATTTTTTTTCTAAAATTATTTTTTAAACTGTATTTTTGATAATGTATCCAGTACAGATAAAAAGATATTTTAGACAAATTTACTGATTTCAATGCTTAGTAATTTGATATAGACTGATAATGTTTTCTCTAGAAATTTAAATGATTATGATATATTCAAATTTCTAATCATATGTCAAATGTGCTAAGTTTCAATAAATTCTATCATCTCTAAGAGCTTGAACATTCAATATTTTCTCTAGTGATCCAAAAGTGGGGCAACTTTTCCCTCGTTTAGGTACCTGGTCAAGAAGTTATTTTTGATGAGCAACAAACAAAATATGGAAAAGAAAAATGCTATGATTATAGTCTAAGTCTTCATAGAGATTGCACATATTTTAATATTTCACACTTTTTTTCACCTATATAGACCAAGGATTTCTTACAGGCTACTCAATATAGCATTAGAAGTAAATATTTGTAAGTAAATAATTCAGTACACTTCAGAGTCAGGCAAAATATTTAAATATATAATTACTTATTGGCAATCATAATAATCCTAGTATTTATGTATCCTTGTCGGTGTGCATGGAATATATTTTACTAATGTAGCTCACTTGCATAAGCAATTTTAGAACAGCTTCTTCAGAGAAAAAAATCTTAGGAGAAAATCTTCCAGTTTTGAGAAAACAGTATTTGTCCTTCTTAGGTATCTTTATCCTAATGTCTCTCACATACAAGTCACTATAAACAAGTTTTTTTACTGCAGCTTGTAAAAATTTGATGATTTGTTCTTTTTAAAAACAGGTAGTTTGTACCCTCAGGTGGGTCACCAATTAAGTGCTTGACCTTAGAAAAAGAAAGAAAATATTCAGAAATGTCTTTCCAATTTCTACACATTAAATTTTAGAGAGTACCCAGAAAAAGTATTCTTGAGTCATATAAAGTTGACCCAGCTCCACAGCTGCTATTTATTAAAGTTATGATCTTGGTCAAATCACAGGACTGAATCATCTTTCTCATCTTAAGATAAAAATAAAATAGGACCTCATTCAATTCTTACTGTGATAATCAAATGTAGTTTTTTTGCATGTGTGCATACACATACATGTATGTATGTATTATCTAGCATCATCTCTGGTACATATGTTATTAATAAACATTATAATAATTGATAATATGATTATTATCATCACTGCTAGTAATAATAGACTGTCATTAGTCTGGACTTATCTTCAAGGATAATGTGTAAAAAAACAACAAAAGTGTAGATCCCATTAATTTAAAATCTCTTTTATCAAGTACTTTATTTCAGTCCCCAGTATTTTTTTTTCTGATTACAAGTCACTTCTCATTAGAAAGGTTAGAGTTTTAAGAGGTAGCTTAATTCTCTCAGAGCATAAAGATAACACTTCTGCACTTATACAGTTATTTTTAATGATGTCCCCTACTTCCAATTTCCATGAATGATTTTTACTTGATTTATCTGCCAAGGATTATAGTTTGCTTCATGTTTATGTTCAATTTTATTTAATTTTGTTTCATTTTGTTTTCATAAGACATTGTTTCAGATATGTGATTGGGGCAAACCACTATAGATTTCCATTGGAGAGAAAAATGAAATGTTACTAATAAGTTGAAATAACCAACCAGGGACTACTAATATTGTTGATACATTATTAGAATGTATGTCTCAGAAGATGGTTTTTGTTTAAATTTAGGGTCAATTTGTAACCGAATTCTAATATGGATTAAAAACCCCACATTAAAAAAAATATACAACTGAAATATTTTAAAGTAGCTTGTAAATCTATTTACATATTTTCAAGAAGATTTCGTATACTGGAAGGATATGAGTGATATTACATTTCTTTCATTAAATATTAGTATTGTTGAAATCCAATAGTAAAACCTTTAACAGAGCCAAATAAGTTATGATTACAAAAGAGTGTACACTGCTTAGAGACCTCTAAAGTACTCAAATATAATGAAGAAACTTGATGATGATGGAGAAATTCACTTATTTTTCAATTTACTCCACTAGTCACTCTAATCATTTACATGCATTTATTTAAAATATAATGAAAATAATTTATAACACTAAATCCAGTGGCAATGTGATTTCACTCTATATCAAGCAGTCTGTCATAATAAATTTGCTATTCTCTTCCTAAATGAAGTAGTATTTTAAATCGTTCCTGATTAGGCATCATAACTATTATTTTTAGTTATTAACCTACTAATATATGCAGAGATCATAGGTTTATTAACTACATCATAATGGGTGTTTAATAAATTTTGAAAGATAGTTTATTGTGATTATATAAAATTGGACCACCCGTTTTGTGGCAATTGTTGAAAAAATAATTTAGTCACATTTAAAGCTATAACACTAAAAAAAAAAAAAATAGAAAATGAATATAGACAGAAACAAGAATTATAAAAACTGAGTCCTGGGGTACTCCAAAATCAAGAAGTTGGGAAAATGGAGAGAATCTAACAAAGGAATTTGAGAAAGTGCACTCAGAAAAGTGTTAAGAGAACCAAAAGAGGGTGTTATTTCGGCATCTGAGAAAAATAAATGTCATAAGGAAAATGTAGGTGATTCTATAAAATTTAGATAGGTCAATGGAGGTGAATATTGAGCGTTGACAATTATATTTGGTGAGCTGAAGTCATCGATCACTTTTATAATAAAAGTATCATTTTCACGTTGCAGTTAACTGCTGATTTCAGTGTTTAACGGAGAAAGGCCAAGTAAGTACATTGAGTAAAGATATCTCTCTTGTAACATTTTTGTTTTACAGGGAACCAGAAGAAGATGGTGGTAGCTAGCCAGAATAGTGAGTGCGTAGGTATGTGCGACGATACCTTATATTGGCTCACTGGTGAGCTGCCAACACTTACGGAGGAAGTTATAAAATAATAAGAAGCAACAAAAGCAGAAAACAATGAAAACTTGCCCTGAGTGTTTATTAGAATTGATTTATTGATATTCTGGGAGAAAGATGAGATTACTGGCAAGAAGACATTAAAAACAGGGGCTTCTGGAACTTCTTTGATTCACTATATTATAGAACGATTCTTTTGGAGTAAAGTGAATTTGCTACTTTAATTTTGTAATCAGGCAATCTAAGAGTTACTTGCTTCCATTTCTTACTTCAAATGCCCAATTTGTCAAATTCCAGACAAGATGTGGTGTTTCCAGATTAATTGTGGATTATCGATGAATAAATGAGATTATAACAATGTATTGTTTGTTTTGTTTCTGTAATGGACAATTTTATAAAACAACATTTATTTGGTTTCTTGGTCATTGATCTGACTGAGCAGATATTTCTCTATCTCATTTTTTTTTTTTTTGCCAATTGATTTTATCATGTGTCAAAAGAGAGTTGACTCTCTTTTTTTGGAAAAGGCTTAATGTTTTTACAAAAAGGGAAATCAGGTAACATTTGGGACACTGAAACAGAGAGACTAGTAACAAATCTTTTCTAGTGTCCCTTTAGTCTCTATTGTATGCTTGAAACCTATATAATTTTATTAACCAATGTCATCTGAATAAATATAATTTTTAAAAAAATGCACAGATTTAAAAAAATAAATAAAATAATATTAACTGATAATAATCTAAAACTAATCATACCATCACTTGTTTCTATGGTCTGCCAATTAATTTTAAGATTTTTTTCATTCCTTTATGATTTAAGCTTTAAGCTTTATGACTGCCAGTTCTGGACCAATCCTTGGGACTAAAGGGATGGCATGCTGTACTTGGTCAGAGGTACTGCCCAGCCCACCGTGGAGGGACAGCTGGAGGGATTTTCTTCTCTTTCCTTTCTTTTTTCTTAAATTTCTCTCTCCTTTCCTCCCTCTTCTCATTTCTACCTCTCTTTTATTCCTTTATCACAGCAGTTGTGGGGAAGGTAGGGAATAGGCAAAATCATTCTTCCTTACACTAGTTTCCTTCAGAAAAATTGGAAGAATTTTTCAAAGAGGGAGATATATTGAACTCTGATTTTATATCCTTTCTGGAAATGGTAATGATTAACAATGCTAATATGAATTATAAATTTTCTCGCCTTATTAAACACTGAGAGGAAGATTTTTACTTTGCTCTGAAAATGATAAAAAGTAAAAAGCATATCTGTTTTGGACAAAGAGAACTATATTATAAGGATCTCCTGAGAACTACATGCGCCTCTGTCCTTTCCTTGCTCCCATATACGTCTGTTTCTCCCTGGTGTGGTCAGTCTCTCAGTTCTAAGCTGCAGAACGAGTAGTGACAGTTTATCAATCCTGTCTCTTTGTAGACAAAGAAAGCCTTGACATACGGCCAATATTCAGAGAGCTCTCTGGCCTGAAATCTAGATCATTCAAGTATTTCCCGGAATGGATTTAATGTATCGTAAAGGTCTTGCCCAGAGCCAAAAGTTAGATGACAATCCTGTGGGTAGCTTTTTAATTGATGATTCAACTTTCTTCCTTGTGAGAAAAGATGATTCTGAGGTAAGAAGAAAGAACACAGAACATGAACCATAGACGGGGTTAAAGAGAAAGTGATTTCTATCAGAATGTTAAAAATCAGGCGCATCCGCCGCAGCCAGTGAGATAAGGAACGATGAACTTTTCTATCATTTGAACACACACTGGTTTTCTCCAAATGACACAAGAAGAGGTAGGAAACATGGAGAGCGCCTGCGCCTTCCCTTTTATCTTTTTATACATTAGGCATATGAATTTTTCTTACATTTACTTTCTTTTTAAAGTTCTCAGTGGTGCGAACCCTCTGAGCCCACCCGTTGACAAGATCATAGAAGAAAAGAGGAGTCATGGATGAAAAAGGAGAGATTGTGAACTTGTCTCCAAAACAATGTATTTTGTTTATATTTAAACTTGATTAAGTAATTTTCAAGCCCCAACCATTACCCAAACTCTTTATATTTTTAACCCATTGAATATTCATAACAAATTTAGGAGGAAGGCCATTTTTAAAGTTCTGAGCTGGGTAAACTGAACATTTTTTGTAGGGTTACATAGCTAGGCAGTCGCCTTACTAGGATTGCATTCTAGCTGGGACTGGACTTCCAGTGTACTGAATAGCTATATTCTATGTCTGCAGGATCAATCAATATTTATAAAGTAAATTCATATCTTAATTACACACATCCCAGTTTTTGTTTTTATTTCGCCAATATCTTGGTCCTTAGAAAGGTTTCCAGTTTTTCTCACACCTCTCTGAAGAGTTACATATATCAAAAGTTGCATTAAGATGTCTGCAAAAAGCCACCTCCAACCATCATTGTATAACATGCTTCAAAAGCACTTCAGTGACCTACAATTCATCATTAAGTAAGTTTTCCTAACAATTTCCCCAAAATTTACAACACACATGTTAGATGGATTAACATTTGTGTGGTTCTCTAAACCATTTGGTTGATTATTTTTGGACAAGGTTCATCTCCAGAAGTGACATAATTGTGTGCACTCACTTTATTCACATCACTAATTAAGATCTCACCTCAAGAGTGGAGAATGAAGCTTGCTGAGATTTATATTCTCTTCCATTAAAATAAGGTGGTTGAACTACAGAACTTTAAAATTACTTTTAGTTCAAATCATACATATTTTATATTATTTAGAACTGCTTCAGAGATATAAAAATAATCACTACCATTTCCTATAAGGCTTTAGGAAAAACAAAACAAGCAGGCAGGCAAAATATCCTGTATTTTTTGTATTAGTTGGATTAGTATACAGGCTATATTTGGTGAAAGCAAACTTATAGCAGAGAGGCTGTGTGCATGATGTTGTCTGTTGTTGCATTTTTCAGTACTTTTAAAAATACTAAATTTCCTTATGAGGAGAGATTTGATCACATAATAAATTTAAAAGAACAAATAAAAACTATTGAAAAAGTTATCTATAACATTTGAATATTGTGATTGGGGAAAATTTACTTTATCTGTATCAATATATCTATAAATGAAGTCAATCTGGTATAAGACTAAGTTATGTTTTGAGTGTTGATACATAAATGTCTGTTACACTATTTTCTATATTTATTTGTATGTTTGAAATAATTTACACATAAAAATAAACTTAAAACTTTGAAAAAGTGGACTATGAAAATACAAATAAGGGCAGAATTTCATTTTAAGACTAACTCTGTAAAGAGCTGCAAATATTCTAAAATATTTTTAGGAATTAGAAAAAAAGAGCAGTATAGTCATATATTTTTAAAATAAATGGTCAAAAAATAAATATGGGTGATCCATATCCTAAATCACCAGAATATGGCTAAATATAATACAAAGAAACAAATATACTCAGAAACAAAGGTGTTCAATCCAAGTTAAATTACACAATATAAAAATAAATAAGACATAACAAAAATACAAGAAAAATATGCACACAGACACATACTTTCCAGGAAGAAAATCAGAAGGTTAAAAGAGGCTATGACCAGAAAACTGTAGGGTAACAGAGTTATTGAGTAGGTACATATATCTTCTTCTATGTTGACCACATACATTTAAATTTCTAAATAGATCTTTTCCTGTAATTCATTCAGAAATACATTCTTTGCTGTTTTTACCTCCCATAGATACTATTTTATACTGAAAGTGGTCCTTAGGAGACCATGAATAATTGAAAAGGAGAGATAAGGCATACAATAAAAAAGAAAAGCGGGCCAGTGTTCAGAAATATTTTTTTACAATGCTGAATAAGAAACACTTGAATGCACTTGTGATGTTCCATTTGTGTTAATATCTTAGAGCAAGAGTTTTCCATTTTTTTATAGCCTTGAAACCATCTCTTCAAACAAAGTCTGACCCAGAAGCATAAACAAATAAAAAATATAAAAGCAGTACAATACTTGCCCATAGAGATTTTGTGGGACAGTAGTATAGGAGGCCCTGCCCATTTATAGACAGACAGACAGACAGACAGACAGACACACACACACACACACACACACACACACACACACACACCACAACATGGATAATAACAAGAGGCCTAATTTATCTTTGCCATATAGAGTATAGTTGTATCCCAGTAAAAATAGGAAAAATATAGGAAGTGAAAATTTTATAGACAGAAAGTAGATGTTAAGTCCTGCTTTACATTCAGGAAATTGACTCGTGTTAAAAATATCAGAATACCTGAGAAGAAACGTTAATATATGATTCTCTATTCCTCCCAAATTTCACCTTTTTAAAAACAAAATAAAATACTGTGTAATGCCTAGTCATAAGTATATGAAGTAGAGCATTAAATCATACCTTTTTGCCAGAACAAGTTCATAAAGTTTACAAATAAAATTTAAGGAAAAAAATCTAATTTGATCTCCTATATAAAATAGTTGTTCTCTTATAACTTTGTGAGTACAGATTCAGTTCTTAAATTCCAAGAGTAAAATTTTGTACGTGTGTGACTTGTCTTAAGATTGTATCAGGTGCCTACAAAGATATATATTGATGTACCATTTCTGTGTAAACTATCCAGCGTAAAAACTACCCAATTATTCAATAAAGAGTTGTATCATAAAATAGTTATGTAGGGATTGAATCAATTAATTAATATAACCACTTCTAGCAACATTTCTATGTTGATGACAATTTTGAGAACAATATCTTTTTGTTTGTTTAAAAATTTGTGAGTATTTGGTAATGTCAAAAAGCACAGACACAATAAAAGAAAGCATATTTTGCACAAGGGAAAAATTGACAGGATTAAGAACTTTTTTCAAATAATTTCCTTTCTGCAAGTACTTTTAACCAATGGAAACAGAATATAATCGTGATCAAAAGAAAAATTTTTATATGTTCTAACATTCAAAAGTGATATATATATATCTACAAGTACTTTTAATTTATAAATTCTAGAAAAAGCATAGCATCTGCAAATCATTTCAACAAAGACCTTCTCAAAGAGCACAAAGAAACCCAGAAGCACTGACTATTTACCTAAATTACTGTCATCAGGAGCACCAGCTGCAACTATATTCCTTAGATTTTCGCTCTAGGCAACCTAAATCTTAGAACTACTTTCGGGAAAGAGATCTAGGAAAATGAAATGAGATAACTAATTGCTGCTTTAAGCTTATTGTGGCTCAGGAAAAAGAAAAATAACAAAACCATTTCGTAAGAGGGTATGTTCTACTAAAAGCTGGTATTACCTAAGTTTTAAAAGGATCATATCCTTAAATCTTCTATGTTGCTTTCTTGTTTTATTTAATAATG